GAACAATATCAACCTCATTTGATATTGGTAGGATATCACAAGGCAGTAGTCTTAAAAGACACCAGCGGAGATCTCTGATAGTGTTCATTTGTAGGTGACAAGAGTTTATTTTCTCAAGTACTTTTTCATGACAAGTCAGTTCTGGACATGGACTAGGTTTTTCAAACGCTGCAAACTGGATAAGACACTGATTGCCCAGGGAGAGTAAGTGACATTTCTTTCCCATGCTTCAGTAATATTTCTTGTGAAGCTGGACTAACTGCAGACTGTTCTTGGAATACCATTCTAGCCATCAATTGGAAGGTATTCTTTCCATCAATGGTTTCTACCTTTATGTCTCTATCATCTCCTTCATGGATGAGATTTCCACCAGCGTGAATTGATACAATTCTATTTGGAATGAATATACCTCACTGGAGTCTTTCTACTTCCGTTTTTTCAGCACTTGTGATGAACCACCTCAACTCATAATTGATGCAGAATTCATGAAGGCGTAGTATGTCAATTAAACTATGTGACCAATTATGGTGTAGCTGTGCAGCAAGGCTTATGTGTAGCAGCGTGATAATTTTGGAAATATTAAATACTCTGCAGCTGAGAGGCACCTTCTTTGAATGTCTTCTGAATGAGGATACTCATTGCTGGCAGAATTATGTGCCTCATTATCTAACCACCAAGGGACAAACTCCTTTACCAACCGACGCACAAAAGTAACTGACCTCTAAACTACAACCACCTTTGGATAATATTCTGAGATTATCGTTTTGCCTGTTTCAGACCAAAGGATTGAAGCATAATTATAGAAAACTTGTTCACTTGAAAGCTGTTCATCAGACTCACTCACCTGAAGAGCATCCACAAAACGTTTAGATGACTTAAGTTTCTGTTTCAGGTTACTAGCAACTTGGATAGTGTCAGCTAATGTTATTACACTACATAGAACAATGGTAGACTTGCCTTGTCCATGCTGTGCATGGAATTAAATTGCAGAACCGTAGTGTTTTTCTAATCTTGCCTGTAATTTGTTACAGGAACACCTTGCAATTTCTGCATCTGAGGGAAGCAGGGTTTTATATCTTCGTAGCAGTTTGGACAGAAGAAGAGCTTTATTATTATACATAAGCCATTGTCTCTCTTCAATCAGCTGATAAAATGCAATGTATTGTTGCCGTTAACTAGATTCATTTTACTCATGTAGAAAAAAAAAGGCATATTGAATGATAAACTGCATCCTTCGCCATCATATCTTCTACAGATGTTCTGCATATGTCATCATCACCTCTCTTAGATTGGTTGCTCTCTCAAATGCTTCTATTTTGTCAAGTTTCTCATCTTGTGTTCAATACAACTCTGACCTGCCAAATTGGACTTGTGTGTATATTTCTGAAGCAATCCCTGTGATAGAGTATTAGTGGCACGTCATCTAAACTAGAAAACTCATCCAATAGCCACCAGTACAATTCATCTCTCCTGGCTACTACTGCCAGCATCACAGAATTCTATCCAGCACTGGTGGCTTTTGACAGTTTTGCATTCTTGCGATTTTCTTGACAAATAAGCACATTTTTCAAGGTTTGTGAAGGCTCTTCTCTGATGAAAGCTTTAGAGGACTTGTATCCTCAATATCTTCACATAGTGTACCTTGTGTAGAGGTAAGATTCCCAAAGTACACCTCTACCGTGATATAACGTGACCCGATATAACACAAATTCAGATATAACACGGTAAAGCAGCGCTCCGCGGGGCGGGGCTGCGCACTCCGGCGGATCAAAGCAAGTTCGATATAACGCGGTTTCACCTATAATGCGGTAAGATTTTTTGGCTCCCGAGGACAGCGTTATATCAAGGTAGAGGTGTATATTGTTAGATCTACATATTAGTATTAACGTTGCCATTTTGTTTAGTGAGCATTTTGACTGAAACCCAATATGAAGCTGGGTAATGTCATCTCTAACATTAATATTGACCTGTGCATAAGTGACACTGAATTGAAAAGCTAATTTCTAGAATATTTCAAAGGCTAGTACTGCATGCATAGGCAACAACTAATTAAAACCTTCTACCAGGTAGACTAGATGCTACATTATATGTACAAAAACTTGCAAATGGAGAAGCATTACATTAGGAATTCACATACATTTATATCTATTCACTGTGCAGTACAAACTATGGGCATGTTACATACTGCTACTAGTGTACAACTGTCACTGAGAGACTGATCTGGTCAGAACATTTCAATTGAAAACATAGAAAACTATAATAGTCACTTGTTAGATACTTTGACAATTAAGAATATGCAATGTGAAAACATATAATGTTAGTATATTGCAAAATGTTATTTGCCATTTTTGCCACATGCTAAACACTTTCATCATTTCTGGAAAAAAAAAATCTTGCCCATGCAGAATCTATAAAAAATTTTTAATACATTGTAATTTGGTAGTTTTGACCAATAAAACACCCTATTAAGGTACGGAATTTCACAGTAAAATCTGTAGTCCTAATCGG